ATATATATATATATATATATATATATATATTTTTTTTTTTTTTTAATTTTAAAAATTATTTAGGTCAATACCATATTTAAAAAATACTCATAAATTTGGAAAAGTAATACCAATATTTTTAACTTTTATAAAAAAAATACTTAAAAGTTATTCCCATCAATATATTGACGGAAATCATACATATATGTCTCATAGATCATCTCCCACCTCGGTTTTAAGGATATTAATAGTGAAACTTTTTTTTATTTGTTAGTGAATGGATATTAATATTGCATTCAAAAGTTTATGAGTATTTTTTTGAAAGTTAGTTTCGTCCCTCTACTAATTTTAGGAGTATTTTTGAACCTTTTAAAAAATTTCAAGGTATTTTTTTCTTTAAGTTTTTAAAATTTTAAAAATTAAGATGTTTTTGAAACTGAGTTTAAATTTATTTTAAAAATAAAATATTAACTATTCATATTTAAAATTAAATGTAGGAGAATTTTTTAAAGTTTAAAGGTTTTTTTTTTTCAAGGTAGAAATGAATTATTAAATTTTTTGAAATTCATACAAAGTTAATAGTGAGGCCCAGGCTTTGGACAAAATGGTTAAGCCCAAAACGTACGTTAAGGCCCATAATATTGGCCCATCGGATCCGAACATAAGATTCCCCACAGGCCAGAAGGTAGCAGCGCTAAGTTCATTTCGCGCCCGACTACACTCACCCTCGCAATTCTTCTCGTCCAACTTTCAATTTCAATAGCATTTTCCCGCCACTGTCACTTCGATCTTCCTCCGCTCAAGTTCTTCAGCGCATCTTCTTCACCATGAAGATTATTGAACACTTCCTTCTCCCCCTGTGAAGTGTGAAGAACTAGAGATGGAATCCCAGATACAAAATCTCAGTGCTCGAAAACCCTTCTCGGATTGTACCAATACCATCGTCTCCTCGCAATTGTCGCCTTCCAATTTCTCCGCTCCCATCAAACCGCGCAAGCGTGTAATTAAGTCTGCGGTAAAAGATGTTGTCAACATTCAGAAGAAATGCGAGCCAAGTTTTGCGTCTGAATCTACATCCTTTAATTTGCGAGTTTCAAACCCTAGTTCTGGTTTTCTTCCTACAGAACCTAGCTCTGATTTTAATCCTGCAGAAACAAACCCTACTTCTGATTCTCTTCTTCCAGAACCTAGTTCTCGCCGTCTTCCTACGGAAGCCTCCACTCCTTTGCGGCGTACTGATTTGTCGTCTAGTTCAGGTAATGGTTGTACTTTCTGGTATTCGTCGCTATCGTTGTTTGGTCCTTGATTCTTTTGGTCGGTTAAGTTTCAGCAACTGTTATTCCCTATTTCTCAAAATACTTCAGTTTACTTTAAATACTACGTTGGAATTAAGGATTACAAGCTATTTTGGGATTGTTAGAAATATTATGCAGAGGAGATTTGTTGTTTTACTGTTATGCTTCTTGTGTGCGATGTTGAAATTTCTGCCTGTGAAAGAGTATTCTTCTGATACGTATGGTTATATGTACTAGGAAATTCAATATTTGGGATTTTTTATCTTCAATTTTTCCATGGCTTGAAGCATTGAGTATTATATTACGCTTTGACGTCAGGAACCGATCGCGTTCCGGAGCCCCAGTCCTTCTACAGTCGAAGGCGCCCTTCGAATAAAAGGAAGAGCGTTGAGATAGCAGTTCCACCATTTATTTTCTCTACCGCATCGAAAATCCAAACTGGGTATGAAGCTCTTTGCACTTTTCTCCATATTTAAGACAAAATCTCCTCGCGCATGTAAATCTCTGATGCGCTTAATGGATTCAACCAGAGGAATTTAATTGTGGGTTCACAACGCCTAATGATAGTGTTACAATGCTATTGGGAATCCGATGGTTGTTAAGTTTCATAGGAGAAAGTTGCCTTCTCTCTGCAATAATTATCAACCTGGGCGGCCCCTGCCCTACTTTTTGGAAAAATTAAACGGTTCTCTGGTCCTGGTTTTGGAAATTTTTTACTGTTCTAACAATTACTGGTCTGGGTTAATCTGGTATTACTCTTACTTTATCTACAATGAGGAAAAATTGCAGCCACCTAAAACCGTGTTTGTCAGCTTTTTAATTTTTAATTTTTTTACTTTTTGTGATAGATTTGTCGAGCCTCAATTGTTTGACTGCCTTAAATATGAAGCTCTAGTCTGTTGAGGCTTTCATCTTTGTGACTGAATGCTTGTTTGGCTTCCAAATTGCAGTCAATTTTTGTTACTATTTTATAATTTGATTTGATGGAAAAGTAAACTTAAGATAGTGGGCACGAATGTTGACATTACTACTACTACATTGTTTTTCTTCTAAACATACGGATTAATGGATACAAGAAATATGTCTTCTAATATGAGATCCCACATTGGTTGGAGAGAGGATACCCTTGCCCTAGTGGATGCGTTTTAAAGCCTTGAGAGGAAGCCCGAAAGGGAAAACTCAAAGAGGATAATATCTACTCGCGGTGGGGTTGAGCCCTTACATACAAAGAGTTGTTACACCTAATTTCTCATTTACTCTTTATTACTCATTTGTTTGTTAATTGTTCCCTTGCTTTTATGCAGGGGTGAAAGAAGAGATGGATACAGTAGCACATCCAAAGCAAGAACCGTTCCTTATAACAAGGTCCGTCTGAAAATAATAGTACTGCCCATTTTCTTTTATCTGTCAATCTAAAATTATGTTACACTTTTATCCTTATCTTTGCTCCTTGCTTGTTTAGGTTTTAATTTGATGCTTATTCTTTATGGTAGCAAAATAGGAGTTCTGACCTTTCTCTCAAAAATGTGATGCTATCTGTACTTATCTGTACCACAATTAATAAGCTCTGTTCCTGATTAATTGGTCCCATTGTATGAACGTTAGGTTAACCATAGTCATGGCGTAGGCAATATTTCACCAACTTCTATTTATCTATATCCACGGGATATTTAACTAGCTAGATAGAGGTTGACTTTTTTTTTTTTTTCTTCTACTTCTTAAAGAATAGTAAATACTTGTTATGAAACAAGAGTCCCTTTCAGTAGCTTAACTGTTAAGATCATCGCATCTCCTTCTCTTTCACTTTGGCCAATATGACCCATGGTATGGTAATTGACTTATTCTACAGTGAAAAGTTTCTCTTGTTTACCACTGGCCAATAACTGTTTGTTAGCAGTCGGCTACTGGAAGTTTCAAATCACCTCAACAAAATTATCTAATGATGAGTAGCTACTATTTTTTTTTCAGAGGCAGTGTGCCATAACGTATGGGGAAGATGAGTCCAATGTTGAGCTTCCACGGGAATTTGTTGAACAGAAGAAGGCATATTTTTCGGAAGTAGATGCGTTTGAACTACCAGAGGAGGAGGCTAAATCATCCGACTCGGAGTAGACGATGGTTTTTTATAGTTATAACCATTCAAGTTAGTAGCCTGTATTGTTTAAGTTCTTGTTCATTACTCAGAAACGGTTTGCTCTGTTCTGTCATTCATTTAATATACAGTGTAATTTTGGAAGCATGAAACTAACGCCATAAAGTTTAATCAATAGCTTTGTCAAGTCTAAAAATTAATCAATAATAGCATTTAAGGGCTACACAAAAATTAAACTTCATCATCTTTTGACTTTGTAATCTTTATCTGATTAACTATTAATCTATTCTGCAGGCTGTTAAACTTTAATTATTGGAAGATTATATTTCTTACCTAATCCCTCTCGCTTTTCCATTTTATCGGCTCAGAAAAGTATAAACCTGCATGCCTACGTTCTTCTTTTTCAGCCCTTTATCCATTGCCCATCACATCTCCTTTCTTTAGACGCTACTGTTTTCTTAATGAATTGGTGCAGACCTTTCTGGAAGTAAAAGTAGTTTGAAATGATCCCATTCATTTAAAACAAGTGAGAATCAAATATTTAATCATGACACAATCAACGCATGCATCCATTCAAAAGTAAAGGCCTTGATTCCCTCAGTTTTCTACTTCTCTAATCAATCACTTTAAAGTGTCTAGAAAAATAATTGGGCATCTCTTCCATTTTTCAACACAGCCCTATCTTTGAAGTTTCCTTGCAGTTTATGAACATTATTCCCATGCAAATGCCTGATGGGACCTCTTCCTTTTGACTTTACCATTCCCATTATACTAAAACTGGCAGTGTTCTTTGACAAAAAAACATCTTCCAAATCAAAAGCACCGTTCTTTTTCATTCAAACCTCTTAATTTACCTCCATCTCCCCTCTCTGCCTTTCTGGTTTTTGTTACTTTTCCAAGTGTTGAAACTTTGAAAAAATTGGCTCCCCCATGCAATTCCATTTCTATGAGTTAGGTTCACCTGCCAAAGCCATGGACTTTATAAGAACCCCCCACACTCCCTCCTTCTTCATCAACACTACCCGGAAAATTGTTACAGAGCTTGTGGGTTCTTAGCAATGGCTGATTCAGGATTCAGAGGAGTTTTGATTTTGAGTTTGGGTTTGGGTTTGTTTATGCTCTTTTTGGGCACTGCCTCAGCTCAACTCTCTACTGGTTTTTACTCTTCTTCTTGTCCAAATTTGTTGTCCACTGTCAAAACCTCTGTTCGATCTGCTGTCTCCAAAGAGGCTCGCATGGGGTCTTCCATTCTTCGCTTGTTTTTTCACGACTGTTTCGTCAATGTACTTTTCTCCCATTCATCTTTCAAACCCTTTTTCGTTTTCTTTTGTTTCTAACTATTAAGTTCTAAAGGTTGCTTTTCTTTTTTTCAATGATTATATGCTTTTGTTCTGTTTTGCTTGGAGATTAGGGATGCGATGGGTCAATTCTGTTGGACGATACGTCGAGCTTCACTGGAGAGAAAAATGCTAACCCGAATCGGAACTCCGCTAGAGGCTTCGATGTCATTGATAACATCAAAACCGCTGTTGAGAATGCTTGCCCTGGCGTTGTTTCTTGTGCTGATATCCTCGCCATTGCTGCTCGTGACTCTGTTGTTCTTGTAAGTCCTTACAACTTTAGTCTAATTGGACTTAATTTGGTTATTGAGCATACATGACGTTTGTAGCTAGGAGGGCCGAGCTGGAATGTGAAGTTGGGTAGAAGAGACGCCACAACCGCGAGCCAGTCCCAAGCCAACAGCGACATCCCCGCGCCAACTTCAACTCTTAGCCAACTCACCTCTAGATTCAGCGCTCTCGGCCTCTCCAACACAGACTTGGTCGCTCTTTCAGGTTCATTATCTCCTTCTCTAAAGCGCTTAAACTAGAAAAAATGGTGACTTTTTGTTAGAAATCACGACTCTCTATAATGATATCATATTATCTACTTTGAGCATAAGCTCTCACTACTTTGCGTTGGACTGTCCAAAATGTCTCATACCAATGGAGATGTATTCATTACTTATAAATTTATTATCATTCCCTAAATTAGTCTACGTGAGACTTCTTTCAAACAATCTTCAACAATTCTCCTCTCGAACAAAGTACATCATAGAGCCTCCCCTGAGGTCTATGTATCCCTCGAACTCTCCTTAATCGAGGCTCTACTTCTTTCTCTAGAGCCTTCAAACAAAGTACACCATTTGTTCGACACATGAGTCACTTTTGACTACACATAATTCTCTTTGTTGTTTGTTTTGACATATTTCGATCGTGGGTCATTTTCAACACTTTCAGGTGGGCACACAATCGGACAAGCAAGGTGCACAACATTCCGAGGTAGAATCTATAGCAATGCCACAAACATAGACAGTACATTTGCAACAACAAGGCAAGGCAATTGCCCCAGTGCCTCAGGCTCCGGCGACAACAATTTGGCTCCTCTGGATTTACAAACTCCAAATTCTTTCGACAACAATTACTTCAAGAACCTTCTTCAGAACAAGGGGCTCCTACAATCAGATCAAGTTCTCTTCAATGGCGGATCAACAGACTCCACTGTCCAAAACTACGCCAAGGCCCCTGCCCGATTCTTCTCTGATTTTGCTGCCGCCATGGTCCGGATGAGCGACATCAGTCCTCTTACTGGCTCCAATGGCGAAATTAGGAAGAACTGCCGGAAGGTTAATTAACCAATGTTGCTCTGTTATGTTCTTGCTTGAAGAAGAATAACTTTTGTCAAAGATTTAAATTTGAAGTGTTTTTCGATATGGGTTTTGCGTCTACAAGAGGTTTGTGATGATTAAAGAACTTTAATACTAATATTCTGTTGGCTGTTTGTTTGGAACTTTAATACTAAACCCTTCTTTCACGTGGAAGTTCTTGATAATTTGACATTTTGTGGAACCAAACATCATTAACCCCAATTAATATCGCACTTCCGAACTCCTTGTCTCATCTCCAACCAATGAAAAAAAAAAACTTAGCAAAAAATAAGAATAAGACAAAAACCCATACATATTAGAAGATGCCACAGCTTTAAGCAATCCATGACACTATACCAAATTCCCCATTAATTAGAGAGGGTTCCAATTAAGTCTCCCACCTCATTCATTGCCATTTAATTCAAGTTCAAAGTTGGCATAGTCACGGGACCTGTCGTTTTGGTTGAATTGAGTTGATTTTAGCTCCAAATGAAATTCAATGTCACAATCGCACTTTTATAACAACGGGACAACAACAAGTCCGCTGTGAAAAATTCTAACTTTACAGATAATGTCAGTGTATGTTTGAGTCTGATCGTGACACTCAGCTCATTTCGCTCAACAACAGCATGTGAAGAGTGAAGCAAAGAAAAAAAAAAACAGTCTTCATTCAATTAACCCATTTACAAATGATTTAATTAATCATTCATTCATTGATGTAATATATATTAAACAAAACACCGACTAAACCCCATGCATGTGCGACCTACTGTTTATGAAGTCAACCCAAATGAGGAACACTGATTAGTAGCACAAGGCTGCACGCCAACACAAATTTACCAAGCTTTTACTAACTATTTTCACATAAAATTAAAGCCCTTTTGTTTTTGTTTGTTTGTTCGTTCGTTCAAAAATCATCTCAAACCAACAACACATTATTAGTTGCACTAAAAGCAATACCCAAAAGCCATAAAAATCAGTTCCCAATAGCTAAAGGTGGTGAAGCTTAACCAAAGTAAGGAATATGTTGGGTTGAGATAGGGTTAATTAGTTGAGGGGCAGTGGTGGTGCTGATGGGCGGAGAAAAGATGGAGGAGGAGGAGGAGGGAGGAAGAGGCGGGGGAAGAGAGAGCGGAGGTGGCTGAGAAGGCGGCGGAGTTGGCGGGGCAGTAGGCGGGGTTGCGGTGGTGGATACGAGCCCGGTAGCGGAAATGAAAGCGATGTGGGAAGAGGAAGAGGAGGAAGGAGAAGGGATGATGGCTTCTCTATATTTGTACTTCAAAATCTCAGTTCTTATAGCGTTGAGGTCAGCTTGTAAGGTTTGAAGTTGGTGTTGGAGAGCAGAAATGGCGCCCATGCAGCCGTACACTGGATCCCTCAGCCTCAGATTGGCTTCATACACCAGGCTGTTTGCGGCGTCCGCTCTTTGACTCTCCGGCACTTCCTACAAATTTTCACAAATTCAACATCAAATGAGCTGGGTCCGGACAAGATTATATTTTTTGTCCCCGTCTATGTTCAATTCACCGACCCATTTCATATAAATACACTTTCGGTTAAATTAGTTAATTTTGAAACCCTAATTTAAATTATTTTAATAAAAATTTTAAAATAATTATATAATTTTAAAAAGAATAATAAATGACCTAGAGGAAATTCAATTCCCTAACAAATTCTTCGTGGGGAATCTCCGACTCAGTCCCCGCAAAAATAATAGGAGAATTTTGCGGGAATGAGAAATGAAATAGGTGACTGGGATAGGGACGGGGAAGGCTTCCCCATCCTGCCCCTGTCTACTTTCCCCGCCCTGTGGACATCTCTAATTTGACCTAATCCTTTCGGGCAATAATTGATACAATAATTGTGGGTCGATTAAAAATTTATAAAATATAGTAGTAAACTTAGGTAGACAAAATTACAGATCTACCATATCTGTTTATGTATTTTATAATATATAGTACGTTCCACAGTCAAAATTATAATTAATATGAAATTCAAAACCGAGATCTATTTTTATTAATTTAATATAGGCCTCAATGGATCTAAGCACATCCCTTTGAACAAGAAAAATGAAGAGTGAGGGTCGATGCTTACCATGAGCATCTTAGCCACGTTGCTGGCACCAAAAACCTTATGAACCGAAGCAAACTTGTGGGGTTCATGCGGAGAGAAATATGGAGAAAATGGGCATTCTTGAGCGCACCTTCTTCTTAATAGCTTACAGGCCGCACATGGCGTTATGGTATTCAGCGCCCCAGCTTGACTCAATATCTGCCTTCTTCCCATTAATGGATAAAACCCTTCAACCACCTCCCTCTTTATCTCATCAACCTCCTGCAATTCTCTGCCAAAACAAACCCCAAATCATTAACAAAAACAAGCATTTAGGCATATGATTTTGTCTACTACTTACTTACTTACCTTTCTCTTGACATTCAGGCATACCCGAATCGAAGAACAAGAACAAGAACAAGAAGAACAAGAACGAGAGAGGGTTTGGGTTTACTTAAAAGGAAAGGGAATTATATTGTATTGTATGTTAAGAAAGCTGAGGAGAAGAAGAAGAAGAAGAAGAGGGGGTGAGTTATAAATATGATAGGACTGCAGCCTCACGTGTGGCTTCTTAAATGCATTTTGACTTTGGATCCATGTGAACATTATTTTGCTTTGTTTTTGGAAGATAATAGCTGGGAAACATGTCAATGTATATGTGTAATTAATGATGATTTATGGTATAAACAATGTAAATTGTATTTGATTTGGTTCCAAATTCCAAGTTTGAAACGTTTTGAAGTTGTAAGAAGTGAGGAGAAATTAGGTTGGTAGTAGTTTGATGTCAAGATCAGAATCCTATACAACAAATGGTTGCCTTCAAGGTTTTGATAATAATAATGTAAGTGATGTAGCTGTGATTGTTGGTGAGTATCCACAACACATCGTTCACTAAAACACTCAACATTTCTCACTCAGAAAATGACTCAACACCCTTTTCCCCGATGCACCTTAATTACGAATTCTTTATAATGTTGGAGAGGAGAACAAAACATTCTTTATAATGTTGTAGAAACCTCTCCCTAACATATGCGTTTTAAAATTGTGAGACTAATGGCAATACGTATCAGGCTTTGACTGTTACAAATGATATCAGGGCTAGACACCAAGCGGTGTACTTGCGAGGATGCTGGACCCCAAGAGGGTAGATTGCGAGATTTCACGTCGGTTGGAGAGGAGAATGAAATATTACTTATAAGGGTATTGAAGACTCTCCTCAATAGACGCATTTTAAAACTGTGAGGCTGTCAATATTATTATCAGAGTCAGATATCGAGCAGTGTGCCAATGAGAAAGTTGAACCCCAAGGGTGTGGATGATGAGTTTTCATATCGGTTGGAGAGGATAATGAAATGTTCTTTATAAGAGTGTAGACGTGTTTTAGAACTGTGAAGCTGACGATGATACATATCAAGCCAAAACCAACAATATCTACTAGTAGTAGGCTTAAACGGTTGGAATACCAAAACTTTGAATGGGAAGAGATTGATTTAGTTGGGTGTGTGAATTTGAGGAGGGTTGTGTCAAAGTGGGTGGTGAAAGTGAGGGAAAGAGGAAAGCTTACATAAACTATTGATACTAAATGGATATTAGGACTTAGGAGAGAAGAGTATGAATAAAATAAAATGGTATGCTTACACTGCAAGCAAACATAGCACCATCCCTCCTTGTTTGACCCCTATTTTCAGCCTTACAATTCGCCACCTTCTTCTCTCTCCTCATTCCCCAAACCTAACTTTCTCTCTCCTCATACCAAACCCTAGATGCTTCCATAAATACACTCTTTCCTTCTCAATTTTGTTGGGTTTTAATTATAAATTCCAATCATGTGCATTCTGAACACGTACTCGTTGTTTACACGTTGCATTGTCGTTTACATATATTGATAGGACATCGAGATCCGTTATATACCCATTAGTTAGTAGTTGAGTTTGTGTCACGTCAAGTCAATTTAGAGCAAGTTCGAGTCGTAATAATGGTGACACAAAAACGGTCTACACTTTTTAACTTAACCCCTACAAGGTTGTGTTCATCTAGGTTTCTAACAAAATCTTTGGAATTCCAGATGAAAACCCTAAGGCCGGTTTGGTGTTCTTCGAGGGTTGACCTGCCCTTGAACCGAACCGCTCCGCTCGACCCAAAAGGGGTCAGCTCGTTAAGGCCGGTTTAGTGCATATAAGTGCAAACTGGCAGATGGGCCTCGGCCTAACGGTGTTAGCCCAAGTAGTCAAGCCCAGCTTTTAGGCCTTTGGGCCTTTTGGGCCATATGAATTTTGGGCCTTTAACTACTCTGAGAGAGTAGTTTTAGAGTAAACTATGTCCGAACAGGAAGGAAAGATTCAATTCAAGAGATATTCTCTTCTCTCTAGTTTCACCCTAAACAAAGGTGTGTCACCCTACCTAAGATAGAGATGCCCCTAAAGTTAGGAGAGTGATTGATTCGAAAGCCCAGGTACAAGTAGGACATTCCATATAAAAATCGTTCTTCTCCTCACATAGATGGTCCTCTCTCCTCTTTCACTCGGTAACGTGGCTTCACTCCTCTCCAGTCCCAATTTTTTATCGATAAGTAGGGTTCATTCTAAGGTTCCTTATTTTGACTGTAACGTAGAAGAAGCCCTTTTCCTTGCCCCTAATCACGTGTCACTAAATTTATGTCTCACTTAGACGGGATAGACTTATTTTAAATATTTTTAAGAATAGAAATAGGAATATTTGAATGAAGATAATATAATTAATTAACAAATGAGGCACCGTCATTTGGACTCTAAGCTCTTAGTATAAACTTAATTTTTGGTCAAATCTTAAATATTTATCTTGAATTTTGTGTTGGAAAACAGAATCCAGAGCAGTTTGATATCCACATGGAAGACATAGTTATTAATTGGCAGAGCTTTTTTAGGAACTTTTTATTTATTTATTTTTAATTCGTTTCATTGATTCAAAGCTTTTTTATTTTTCCCATAATTTAGTGATTTGAGTTGGCGCAAGTTCTGGGAAAACGTCATGAGATGACTTTGGATTGGACAGTTCGAACACTCTTTAACTTTCTACTGTGTACTCATCACTTCCGTCTGCCATTAATGCATAAACAAAGCTGAGTTATTTATTGTAACAATAAATAACATAAATAACGCTTTAAAACCTTCCTGTTTTGTTTTCCTCCTCAACCAACGTGAGACATTACAGTTCTCCTCTCTAAATGATGTGAGATCTCACCATCCACTTCCTTGGGGCCTAGTGTTTTTGTTGGCACACTGCTAAATGTCTAGCATTGATATCATATGTAACTGTGCAAGTCCACCGCTTATGGGTATTATTCATTTTTACCCGTTACATATCACCATCAACCTCATGGTTTTAAAACGCATCTACTAAAGAGAGTTTCAACACTTTACCCATGTAAAGAATGCTTCGTTACTCTCTTCTCCGTGGTGGCCTAGATGAGATCTTGCATTTATGGTTCCTCCTCCGAATCTCTCTCCAACGAAGGGCAACAAAATATAACTTAAATTGGCAGTTATTTCAAAGTAGACTGGTTTTAACGTGTGAAAAAGGATGTATTTTGGACACTACCCTCTTTAGACAATCAGTAATGTTCTAACATTAATTTCCCAGCTTCCTCCAACCACACGGCAGCTTCCTTACTCTACCTCACTTTTTATGAGCCGACCTTTGGGTTCGTATTCTCATTTCTAGATTCAACTTCATCAAAAGGGTTTCGTTAAAAACATGTTTGGAAATGATTATGAATATAAAAAAAATTAAATTTTTTTTTAGGGTTTAGGGTTTTTAAAAGAATTGTATTTCAGTCATTAAATGGGTGATTATTGGGTTTGGTGAAAGATTGAAAGAGTACACCAAAATAAATGAATATTAATGGAAGAATTAACCATGAAAGCTAAAAAAGATTTGATTTTGTTGAAGCTTGACATGAGCTATGCCAATTCAACGACATTTGTGTTCCATACGTTCCATAAAATTACAACATTTTTCACTCCAAACACACACAAACACTAACAAAATACTCAACAAAGTGACAAAACAGAACAAAAAGCTTATGGGAATTCACTGATTTTCATGCACATTTCAACAAATTATTAATGAGTACCTCGGCTTGCAGATCCATGTCCGACAATGGACAACAAAGCGTTCTTCACACTCACTAACCGGTAACAACCTCGGAACAATGAAGCTCTACGTGAAGAAGAGCCACCACCAAAGCACAAAGTCGACGTAGGAGAATCGGGGCTCCCCACCGCCTCGTCGCCCTCGTTGTCGTCGAAGCTACACTCGAATGGCAAGCTTGGAGAATTCGAGAAGCAGCGACGATGTTTGAAGAATTTAGGTCTAACGAAAGCGGAGGGCGACGAGCGAGAGGAAGACCATGATGCGAAGGAGGAGGACGACGACGAGGAGGAGGAGAAGGAGAAAGACGAGGCGGTTCGAGATTTCCTAAAAATTGAAGTGAAACGTGTCGGCTTAGGAGAGACTTTGGAAGTAGAATGCGAAGAGGAATAGTAAGAAGGAGGAGGAGTAAGAGGAGGGATAGAGGTGTCTGAATAAGTATGCTTAGGAGTGCCTGGGCGTGACTCCCATCTGAACGGAATGGCACCAGTGGCGCCGCCGTAATAGACTCTGAAAGAGGAGTTGGCGGCGGAGTTAGCCTCCTTGAGAGAGACTTGGTGGTAGTTTCCAGCTTCCATGTCGAGCTCTTAGTGGGTTTGTTTGAACAGATCTGAGAGGTGAATTTCAAGATCCAAAGCAGCTGAATTGGATTGATATATATGAAGGGAAAGGCATTTGATTTTGGGGTGTAAATGCTAAGGCTGTGTGTAGCTCAACAAGGTGCAATAAATTGAAGTTGACAGACATAAATATTGATATCAGGAATTTGTCTTTATTGCTTGAATCAATGCAATTAACATGGTAATCACTAAATAATTAGAATTAACCAACCCCCATTTAGTGATTTGGTTTCTAAATCAATTAAAAGTGTCATAATTAGTTAGAGTTTATTGGTTCAATACGTGGGTACCAATTTAATAAGGGGAGAGAAGATGGGCCCTTTTGCAAATCAACAAATTAATGAGGGCATGATGGAAAAAGACACTTGAGAGGAAGACAGAAAAAATTATTTTATTAAATATAACATTAATAATTTAAATTTTTTAAAAATAATAATTTAGAGACTAAATGGATACTAAACTTGTAATTTGAGTGAAAGGTGGGTTTAGGAGGGTGAAGATTGGTGTAATAAATGAGAGATGGTCGTGGTCCATATGACTCGTGCCAGAAAGCTTGCTACTTTAATGTGATTTTTTTTTTTAAAAAAAAGAAAGATGGTTGGACAGACATTGAGAGATCATTAAAACCCTCAAAATATCATGTCTGTGTGGCGATTGTTAATTTGCTACATGTGTTTATGGATTTAAATTAGGTTCCAATTCCAATATATTTTTTTTCAAAGATATTGAAATTATTTAATTTCGTGATTGACATATTTGATATAGATTAATTCGATTTAAGTGAAGAAAATAAAATAAAATATATTTTTTATTATATGATTGAAAATTTTAAATTTTTATTAATTTAGCCCACAAAATTAATTTTAAAAAATAGACGAGACATATAACTAATTTATTAAATATCTCAGAGAAAAAAAACAAGGGGCATGAAGGATGAGACGTGTCCTTCCGTGTTAATGACATGTTACTATAGATGATTGTTTGGGTTGAAAATGACAAGAGAACAAATTTTAATATCACATGATTTCAATTCAAATCTATAGATCTTAGGATAAACGTAAAAAATTAATATAAATGTGTCAAAATTAGCCTTTTTAAAAAATATTTTAAAGTTATATATATTAAATTAAAAATTGATATGGTTGCTCAAAATGTAAAAATAAGGTAAACATTAATAGGGATGAAAGATGGATAGGGCTTAAAAAGGAGGGAGGGAGATAGAATATTGGTGGGTCCATAGGTAGATAGAAACATTAGTGTAACAATTATTGAATCGAAGGCAGGACGAAATGCTCCAATTAAAACCTCGTGTGATGCATAATATTAAATTTTTCGGAGTTTTACGAAAAAACTTAACAACATCATATAAGGTTGGTGAATGAATGTTCAGTACAATTTAAGGTCATATGCTTTTGGAACGACAAAAATAATTTCATCATATTAAAAATAGTTCGAAAAGCATTCTTAATAACTAGCCTCCATTTACGAAAATTATGAGGTAAAAAAAATATATTGTAGAGGTCGGAAACGCTCTTCAAACCCACATGCTTTAAACAAACAAGAGCCTCTATGTCGACTCGTGAGATTGTATTGAAGACGATCGTTGACTATAAAAAATCAAGGTCGATGAAGATGTCAAAGGGCATTTATTTTTAGAGAGTAATTTATTTTTTAATTATTAGAAAAAAAAAAACATTTGGTTGTACCAATGACTAGACATCATATTGTTGGGCTATAAACATGATGGGCTAAATGAAAATGTTAAGACGAATTGGGCTCGTGAAAATGTCGGCCCAAATAGCTTTTATTAATTAATTTTATTTTTAAATATTTTAATTAAACTATACTAATAATAAAGAAAACAGTAGAAGATTGGGACAAATCATATTCACAAAATCAAGCTTTGATTTAAGGATTAAAATTGTTGCAACAAAAACATGGTTGATGAATACGACGTCGTAAGGAAAAGGAAATTGGTTGGTTGTGGAAAAGGAAAAGGGGTGCACTGTCCGCAATCATTCTCCTATTGCCTTTTTCTTTCCTTTATTTTTCTTTTCTTCCAAATAATCATATATCTATATTTATATATAATCTAATTTTAAAATATTTTTATATGGATGTTGAATAATCAATTAATTAATTAATTTACAAAAGCAAATATGTCACATGCCACTTTTTAAAAAAAATTAAATACATATAAGTTTTATAAAAATAATTATTATTTTTAGTTTAAACGATGATATATAGCCAAATATGGGCAAATGAACCAATTATTAAGCGGGGGGCTATAAAGTTCTGTACGTAGGAGAGGTTGTCACACTCCTCGAAACTTCTTTGTTGGAAGAAATCTTTTACTTTATGCTTTTCTAAATTTGAAAAATACAAAAGTATCAAAAAGAAGAAAAGAACGAAAGCACTAAATGAGAGGGAAAAAAATATAAATTCAATAAATAATAAATAATAAAGTGAAAAGAAATTGTATATAGAATTTTATTTTTGTTTAAAATTGAAAAAAAAAATATATGCTTAATAAAGAAACCTTCATATTAATTATTCTTCTTCCATTTCAAAATATATTCAAATTAAAAATCACAGTTAATTTGAATTGATATTAATTATTTAGAAAATAACGAGATAAATTTGACAAATTAGCATTTAATAAATAAAGAGCGATATGTAATATTAATAATTATGGACGACATGTCGGCGGGATTCAATCTGAAGACGATGGGCCATTGTAACCGCCAACCACTGATTAGCGCTTTTAACCGCAATCCACGCTCGAATCAAAATATCGGTCAACTCTAATCCACTACATCACTCTCTAAACCCACCAATCAGAATTCGTTCAGGTCCAAATTTCAACGGTCAAAACACCAAATACTTTGACTATGATTGCTTTACCCAATCAGAATTGCCCACGTTGGTTTTATCAGTGGATTTAGAAGCAGAGGAACTTCCCTAAAGGAGAGGAAAAGCCGGAGTGTTCAAGAGGGGAATTATTGTGGACCCGATTGAGCGAACTCGGGATTGAAACTCAGTGAAGCCTTTTCGGAACGAGTTGCGGAATCGGTCTCCTCAAAACATCATCATCATCATCTCTGCCTCCATTAATCCTCCACGAAGCATTATAGTTTCGAGGATCGCTTTCACATCAATGGACTCGTCCCCAAAAAGTCCAACCCAACATTCTCTTTAAATTCTCATAACCCGAATCACAATCGAAACCTGAACCAGAACCCATTCTTCTTCAATGGCGGAACCACCGGACCCGGCTTCCGAGGCACTAGCTGAAACCAGACCCCAAATGGGCTCCGATTCTGACCCATTTGGGCTCGGACCCACCGGAAGTGGCGCTTCGACTCCGGCGCCCGGGATTCGGCGGGTGAATTTCAGGGCTGTAATTGACACTAATCCGCCATTCGGGTCAGTCAAAGAGGCCGTGACCCGGTTCGGTGGAAGCGGTCCATGGATACCCTTTTGCAAGGTAACTGATGAATTTTTCTACATTTTTGTCCTTTTTCTTTCTGGGTTGGAGCTTCAGGCTCTAGAACAGTTTTTATAATGTTGTTTTCGTTTTTTGTTCTGGATTTCTTGTCGTTTACCTGTCGAGGAAACATGGGCTCATGTCCCATTCCTGGTTTTGTCTCATTTTTTGAACATAACTACAAGAATCAGTTTACCAGGCTGCATTTCCTACTTGTGTTATGGCTTGTTCATGTTTATTTCTATGAGTTCTTATTCACTATGAACAATCATAATAAAGCAGCAGGGGATAGAGGAGTTTGATATTAAGAGAATGGAAGAACAGACAGCTGAGTTGGAGAAGGATCTGATAGTTAAAGAATTGGAAACACTTGATGTATTGGAAGAACTTGGTGCAACAAAGAGAATGGTGGAGGATTTAAAAAGGCAGCTGCGAACCGAAGCATTGAAATGCTTTCCAGCCCCAAATTTCCATTCAGGGGAACAGATTTCAAGTCCTAATGTCAAAGAAATTGAGGAAAGTTTTGGTGATCTCATTAACAATCACGAGCATGTGTTTGGAGATTCATGCCCTTCACCTGATATGATCTTAATGGAGTTGAAACAAGCAAAAATGAACCTTGGGAAGACTATAAATGATCTGGGTGTCATTCAAACTTCTGTTGAATCTCTTAATAGGAAAATGAAGAGGGAGAAGAGCTTGCTGGCTAAGAGACGAGATGAGGTCGGGCTAAAGCCGAAGTTTTCGGGTCGATCAACATTGGACGAGGAGGAGCTCAACCCAATTCAAGTCAAGTCCCAAGTGACTAACGATGTTGAATTCAAAGATGTGTCTGAGAATTCATTGAGGGAACCTCCTGAGTTGAGTCCAAAGGGTGGAGAACTCAAGAACACAAATGAGCACAAAAGGGCTAGTTTGAGGGCTGCAGAGTTGAGGTTGGTTGCAGCCAGAAAGATGGAGGAAGCTGCAAGAGCAGCAGAGGCAGTGGCTCTAGCTGAAGTTGAAGCTCTAAGTAGCATTGATGGTTCAGCTGGGTTTTCCTTGCAAGACCCAGAGACAGTGGCATTTAACTTCAAACAGCAATCTTTCTTGAAACCGGGAGAGTATCGATTCGACGAGGCGAATTCTTCAAAATCGTCCATCGAAAAGAAGTTGAAGGAAGCAAAAGAAGAGCTTAATCTAGGTAAGAAAGCTTTGGAGGAAGCTCTAAACAGAGTTGAACTTGCAAATAGCAAGCAAGTAGTAGCTGAAGAGAGTCTAAGAAGATGGGTACCAGAACATCATAAGGGGCCTGCCATTTACTACCCGAGTGGCCTCAACAATTTCCACCCTCAAGGCTCTCCACTGCACAGCATGAGTAGGGCAGATGGTGTAGGAAATAAGGACTCAAAACCTGTTCTAAGATCGACCATTTCCATGCGAGATGTGCTAAGCAGGAAGCAAGGTTTATCTGGAGACAAAAGGGATAGGCAGTCTGAGAAGCAGAAGGTTGGGTTGAGTCAAATGCTCCATCTGCATGCACTAAGAGAGGATCTAAGATTTGGCTCAAGAACAGAGAATGAAAGAGATGAGCAAAAGAATGTGCCAACGGAAAGAAAGAGGTTTGGGTTCATCCACATAGCTCTCCCCATGAAGAAACAGAGCAAGAAAAAGGCACAATCATGAACAATCTAACATATTTATTCATTCATTAGTGGGTATCGGTTCTGAGTGATGTGTTGTTGTAATAACACATTTGTGATATTCAATAAGTTCCAGCGATCTTCATCACTGGTTGTTTAATGTCTAGGTTTGAGGCTTTGTAGAGTGATTGGTTGATGCTTAAATTTCTTGGTCGGTGAGTATAATGTGTGCTAGACGATTGATGTTGCCATTGTATTTCCCCCTTAAATTTAGATATCATCTGTTAATACTTGTATGCCACTGTTACTAGCAGATATCGTTCTTAGAATTCAACCCTCTTTATTATGATAGTTTACTCGGATTAATCCACATGCGGTAAATGTGTTACTAAATTTCTGCCAAATAAATCAATTTCTTATTTTTTTCGTCCTTTTTTGCAAAGGAATAAATCAAATTCTTACCCTCAATTAAAAGTTATAATATTCTCAATAAGATTTATATATATATATATATATATATATATATATAGAAATATAAGAATAAAATAAGTGGAAGTTTTGAGGCGAAATTTAAAATGTTTTAAAAATGTTTTTTTAACAAATAAATAATAATAATAAAACTGGTGATTTGTTTCTTCACTCAACCACTCACTCCCAAAAGAACTTTCCGTATTATTTTTCTTTTTTAAAAATATATATTATATATTTTTTAATTTAATCTTCCTCTGCGTCTCCTTATTCTTCTTCTGCTTCTTTCAAATTTATTTATATCTAAACCAATTATGTGTTCGTAGGTACATAAAGCTTCCCCATCTCTAAATTTCCCTTATTCATGGAAGTCGAACCGACGCCGCAACCGGGACGTCTGAACCGGCTGAACTCCGCCGTGGCCGAAACCTGGATCGGAAAGCGGTTCAAATTAACCGAAAGGAACTCCAACTTCACCACTGAGCTCCGAGCTGGCACTGCCACCTTCTTAACCATGGCCTATATCTTAGCTGTCAACGCCTCTATCCTTGCTGACTCCGGCGCCACCTGTTCCCAATCTGACTGTGTCCCTCTCTGTTCCGACCCTTCAATTTCAATCTCCAACTGTACCGGGTTGGATCTCCGGGTTATACAACCCGACGAGTCCTGCAAGTTCGACCCTGTCAATCCCGGCTACGCCGGTTGCCTCGATCGGGTCCGTAGAGACTTGATTGTAGCGACGATTGTTTCGTCGCTCATTGGTTCTGTTATAATGGGCGTTTTTGCGAACCTTCCTCTCGCTTTAGCGCCAGGAATGGGGACTAATGCTTATTTCGCTTACACCGTCGTCGGATTTCATGGCTCCGGTAATATATCCTACCGGAGCGCCTTAGCCGCCGTTCTAATGGAAGGGTTAATTTTTTTACTAATTTCCGCAATTGGGCTTCGTGCAAGGTTAGCCAAATTAATCCCAAAGCCGGTCCGAATCAGTTCCTCTGCCGGAATTGGGCTATTTTTAGCCTTCATCGGATTGCAGGGCAGCCAAGGAATTGGTCTAATTGGCTTCAGCCCGTCGACGTTATTGACAATCGGAGGCTGCCCGGAATCTTCCCGGGTGTCGGTGGCCCCGTTGGTGACTTACCTGAACGGAACGGTGGGTCTAATGGCCGGAGGAAAGGAATCGGACAAATTCCTCTGTTTGAACGGGCGAATGGAAAGCCCAACGATGTGGCTGGGAATAGTGGGATTCGTAATAATTGCGTATTGCTTAGTGAAAAACGTGAAAGGGGCTATGATTTACGGGATCATATTCGTGACGGCGGTTTCGTGGATTCGAAAAACGAGTGTGACGGCGTTTCCAGAAACGCCGTCAGGGGAGGCGGCGTACAACTACTTTAAGAAAGTTGTTGATATACACACAATTAAGAGCACAGCTGGAGCACTTAGCTTTAAGGATTTGGGGAAGCCTTACTTTTGGGAGGCCATTGTCACTTTCTTATATGTAGATATTTTAGATACCACTGGAACCCTTTATTCAATGGCGCGATTTGCCGGATTCATTGATCAAAATGGAGATTTTGAGGGTCAGTATTATGCCTTTATGTCTGATGCTACGGCCATTGTCGTCGGTTCCTTGTTGGGAACTTCGCCGGTGACGGTGTTCTGTGAGTCGTCGACGGGGATAAGGGAGGGCGGCAGGACGGGGCTGACAGCTTTGACGGTGGCGGTTTATTTCTTTCTGGCGTTTTTCTTTACGCCGTTGTTGGCCTCGATTCCGGCGTGGGCGGTTGGGCCGCCGTTGATACTGGTGGGGGTTTTGATGATGAAGGCGGTTGTAGATATTGAATGGGATGATATGCGGCAGGCAATTCCAGCCTTCATGACGTTGCTTTTGATGCCGTTGACTTATTCCATAGCGTATGGTTTGATTGGTGGAATTGGTACTTACATGGTGCTGCATGTATGGGATTGGACTTCAGCTGGTTTGAAAAAATGTGGTCTTTTGAAATCCAGGAGTGAGGTCAGCGGGTATAACGGGCAGCTGCTGGCTGAAGAAGGTCCTTTTCGGAAAACCGTACACCCCGAAGTATAGTATTAGTATATAGTATTATTCCATGGTTGTAATAACTATTTTAATTAAAATCAACAACTGAACTTTACATATTGATATTGCTAGCATAGCTTAGCCACATGAGGAGGGCACGGGCACAGCGGGACAAGCGCCAACATATCGTAGTCAAAAGCTTTTGACTTTTTATGATAATAAATCAAAATGCCAGCACGTTGCTTCAGTTTTGTCCTATGTTTATAAAATTTCAAGAAAACATATTATAGGATACAGCTGCATTTGTAACCTTCAATTTTGATCCATGTACTTTTAGAAATATTTAGTTAGTTTCTTGTACTTTTAAATAATAATTATTATTGCATCTATCATTTTTATATCGTACATGAACGAAGATGAACAAGAGATAGAAGTAGTATTTATATCGAAAAAAAGATGATATGGGAAATAAAGAATAAGATGATAAATGTGTGGTGGCTTCGGGGATTGGAAGGAACAAGATGAGGCATTGCCACCAAAAGCATGGGATGATGCCTCTTCGCTTCACTTTCATGTGTGCCCGAAGGCCAACCGAACCCACACCGACATGGCTTTTGAGGCAATTGGGGATAAGACAAGACAAGACATGGTCCACAACACGAGTCAAAGGACTTTTGAAAGCGTCGCATATTTGTCTCCACAATCCACAGGGAAGTAACCACGAAGCTACCTATTCTGCCACAGACACCCTTACATTTATAAAAATCTCAACCAACTTAGGCAATGGGTTAACTATACAGCCTCATCTCTCAGCCAGATGTCTTTTCAAATCAATCTCACGCGACAGAAATTTAATCCAAACTATGCCACAAGTTAAAAGATATTTTTGGACAATTCTGTACAATCTCGCACCTACACTGATCAAATATCTGTGTTCTCATAACTATGTTAACAAAATAGATTACTTTAATATCCCAAATTTCTACATTAGTTTTAACAATTAAATTTACCGCAAGGGGTAAAAAAAAGTCAGTCATATAAATAAAATCCCCCAAAAGAAGAATATCAATTACAAGTGTTTTTGGGCAGCACACGCTAAAGTATGACAGTGGCAGGATATTCTGTTGTTGAATTTGGTGCGGTAAGTTCCAACACAAGTGTCCGAGGCTACTACTAGTGACAAAAGGTTAAATCCTGAACAGATGTGGGAATTGGTTTTCTCCTTCTTGGAAGTTGGAAATTCGCTTAACTCCTCTTGTTGGCAAAGTATTAGACGCCGTCTAATTGTTTCACGTGGTTTGGTGTATTGCTAACCATATGATTTACGATAAAACAAGTCTAAACCTCCCATCGGCTGGAATGGTACAATGAAGCGCCAAGTGGGTTGTAAAGATTACCTCATGTGAGCCTCTCCCTTCTCAGCCTTTCTAGTTCCTTCACCATCTGCCAATGTTCCAATGACAGGGAGGTTTCTCCATAACTCGCAGATACCAGGCGTCCTATCGTTAGCAACCTGACAAAAATTACAGAGGTTGAGAATAATACGAGGAAAGGACAAAATCAGGAATGAACACCTAGCAAGTAATCATGTACTGCTTGCCTGCTTAAGTCTTGGCTGCCTAAGCTCCTATCTGCCTGCTTTACTTCCACCAAGTCATTTTCTACAACCTGTCACGTTGTAGATCCCAACATTATTAATTTCAAGCACAAGAGGACAATTGGCAAATCGACATATCTCGCTTTCAAGATTCGAGTTAACCTAATATGTACCTGCTGCATTTCTGACCCAATGGAATGTGGCAATGACCTTACATTAGATAAGTACCACCCCCATGCTTCTAGTGCATCCATGTCAGTAATTGCGGATGAACCTACAGATGAAGGTTGGAAAGGCACAACCAAATCAGCTGGCAAAATGTTTGATTTGCCCTCGGACAAAATTAGCAATTGGACATCGGTTGCCATATCCATTTTGTAGTATTTGAAATCATATTCGACCTGGAGAAAAGGCTTATTTAATCAATACAATGATGAGGAGCCGGTAATATTTCATCAACGTGTATGTACAAATAGTTGCATTAGCACAATACCTTTTGCAACTCCATTAGATTTTTCAGTAACCTTGCATTTTCAACTCCAAGAGAACTCAGTGTACCTACTTCTAATTGAGTTTCATCAATCATCAAATGTGTGCCTTCTGCCAGTTGAAGTACGCCAGGAACCAGTCTGTAATTTGCCAACATATCACACCAATTATTTCAATTTGAATGAAATCAGAGAAGCATGCATTAGCCAACAACTCTCAGCATTGTTTATGTGATAGAGAAAAAGTCATTGACCATTAAGTTACCTGTTTATCTCATAATCCTTCTTCGGTGCCAGTGAGGCAGTATTTAGATATTCCACTGTGAGAGGTATATATTCCGTGAATGGAAGAAAGCTCTTCACGGTAAGCCTGAGTTGATTGCCAAAAATGGACATACTTTCTCTGTTAAAACCTGTGAGGTTTAGTGAAAGTTTGCCCACTGCCATGGAATCCACCCTGGCATGTACCTATTCAAGAAATTTGTCCATCAAAATTTAAAGCCACACATGCAAACAGGGTGATAAAATAATTAGCATCGCGACTAATATATGATAGAATTATTTTTAAGAAAATGCCCTTGTTTTTAAGAGAACGCCAAAAACTATCGCCATGGAATTAACCCTAACCTTGGACAGAAGATGCAACAACAA